GATAATAATATAGTTCATTGATTACATCAAAGACGTTGTACATATTTAAATTGAATAAAAAACGTACGTTTTTAATTGCATCCTATATCCATTTCCAAAATAAAAACAAACAGGATACGTTTTAACTGATTAATTTTTTTTCTTTGTGATTTAAAAACAGTATTTGACATTTGAGGGTTAATTAAATGTCCATTTTATTTATTTGAGGTTGGAATTTTGATGATAATAATGAGATTAAAAAAACTACATAGATGATGGATCCAACTATGAACAACCTGCAAATGTTTACTAAATAAAAAGAGAATTCTTAGTTTATTTTAATAGAAATAAAAATAAATAAAGGGTCGATAATTAAGTAACATAAGACAAACGACAAAATCAGATCATAAACAAAGGAGGCATGGGTTGTGTTCCATTTAAAGACAAAATCACCACAAATTTGGAATTAATCTAATAATTTATATATATATATATATATATATATATTGTATGTATAATGGGACGGGTTTAATTTAAAATTTTAAGTTCCATTATGAATCAGGGGACAAAGAAGAACACGTCATATTTTTGTTACATTCATGGATTATTAATCATAAATGCGTATCATCACGAATGATGTATCAATTGATCATAAATCATGAATGATATATTATATATTTATCGATCATGAATAGTTCATTCATGAATGTTCGCGTTTATTATTCATGATGAAAGTGGACAACCAGGAACAACTATCACTCTTTTCTTTTGTTCACTAGTTCACAACTATTAAAAAGATTTACAATTGAAATTTCATCTCTCTCTCTCTGTGTGTATATATATATATATATATATATATATATATATGGGAGGAATATTTGCAAACCGAACTATTTGTATAAACCATGAAACCCTCGATTGCATTGCTTATTTTAGTGAAGAATTTTCATGAAATTGTTTCAAATAATTCATTTCAATTAATTATGGACATTATTATCTTCATTTTATTAATTTTAGTAAACAATTGATTTCATCAAAATGAGAAATACATGAAACAATTTAATTTTTACATTGAAAAACAAAAATATATAAAACATTTTTATCAAGAAAAGAATTATTTGAAACAATTTCATCATTTTAAACAATTTCATGAAAAAAAAATTCAATAAAATCGACAATTTACATGGTTTGTACAAATAGTTTGGTTTGCAAAATATCCCTCCCGTATATATTTATAGGGAAAAAAAATAAAGAAAGAACTTTGAGAAAAAAAAAAACGAACCAAAAAAACAATTGAAAAGAAAATTATGGATGTTAAATTAAAAATAACAAGTGATTGTTTTCTATTTAATTTTTATTTTATTTCACCCATTTCCCATCTAAAAGTTACACGGAAATATGTTTATTTAAAATAAAAAAAATGGTTATAACCACCTATTCAACCACATCTGTTGAATGGTTTCAATCTACTGATTTGGATGGATAGGCCAAATTTATGCATGGTGTTTAAGGCATGTTTAACTAGAATAAGTTAGCATATTGTTTTAAGTTTAATAAATAGAGTTTTATTTAATTAGATAGTCATAAATTAACTGATAACATCTCTAACAACTATGTTAAAATAAATATTTTATTTTAATCCCACAACTATATTATAATGTATAGTTTTCATGTTATATTAATAACGTATTAATTGTTTCTATATAACAAAAATTAATAGGCATATTTATTTAGTCCCGAAAATTCTCTTAATCATTTCGTTATCTTCAAAGGTCATTTTAGACAAATCATAAACAGTTTCTCAATTTCTTGCAACGTCTTAACTGCAATATATAACTATATATATTTTATTTTAGATAACTGTAAGTTTCCGGACCAACTTACGCGTACCAACTAATTCCTTAAGGAGACCACGAATGACATGAAGTCTTCACATGTGGACCTACTCGGCTACAAATACTTTGACAAAGCTAGGATTGGAACTCGAAAAAATGGGCATATACCCATTTAAGAAAATGGTCTAATTTTTTTTTGGAAATACTTTCCAAAGAGGTCTAAAACTAGACCTATTCAATTGCATGCATTAGTATTTACTCTTTCATTTTGCTAAAAGATGTATGGATGAATTATATATATATATAAAGGATTGATCCCAAAATGGTAGCTAGGAATTGAGTTAAGTCATGTATCAACGGTTTATAAGTACAAGTTATGGTTTGGGTCCATTTCTTTTGTAGCTTTCTATTAACCTTGATGGTGATTGGTCATGCAATATAAAAATGTATTTAATCGTCATTCGAAAAAGAAAAGAGAGTAAGATGTCGACATAATTGAAAGCAATTGAATATTATTATATCCTTCTAAAATATTGTTACAAATAAAAAATTGGTAAAAAAAAAAAAAGAATACATACATATACTAAAATAAAAGTGTGTGCATGCAAATTCAAATTAACACAAACAATATTTTGAGTAACATTATATGCATATGTATGCATTGATGTATGCATATTATCAAAATATGTAACAATCAATTGGTATATGGAGAGAGAGAAAAGTTCAATTGTAAACTGATATTCAATTGTGAAGAGGGGAGATAAAGGAGAGCGCGACAAGTGTCCTCAACGTCCACATTAAATATGAATGACGAAAGTGAAATTCATGATTAATAACACACAATCATGATCTACGTTAAATTTATTCATTATTCATGATGAATAATACAAATTCATCATTATTCATTATGAATAACCTGTGGACGCAGGGACACGTCACACGTATCGCGCTCTTCTTTTGTCCCAGGTTCACAATAGAAACTCGATTTTTATTTGAAGTTGCCCCTATGTATGTGTGTGTGTGTGTGTGTGTGTGTATATATATATATATATATATATATAAGACGGTAATCAAATAAGAACCAAAAAATGGTTGAGAACCGTGAGTACCGATTTAAGCCCTACTTCAGTTTTGATCATATGTTTTTTGTTACTAGTTTGGTTTTTTCATGAATCACAATCACTTAATTAGTTCATATGTGAATCAATTAGTTAGTTGATATGTGAATTACACGAGTTCACATATGAACATATAGTTCACATGTGAATCACACGGATTCACATATGCATTTGTTTTGCCACCTATTTGTACAATTAGGAAACTACACCTCTATCCTTCGCATACCATAGTAGGAATTATCTTATGCTTGACAGTCAATGATGCAAATTTTGACCAACTGAAAGGCTGTGATCACTTCTCTACTTCTTAACTACTTTCTACTTCTTAAATGAACCTATGGTCATATATATATTGTGATACTCTTACCTTAAGGTATTGTTTCACATTATTTTTTTCTCATCTAACGCTAGCATTTAATATATTGGTGTATATATATTCGCTTCACAATGTGTCTATGTAACTTTTGTTTCACAAACAGGCAAACGCGTCCCTAAAATTTTATAAAAAAAACATATGAAATAATACATGATACACTAATACGTTCTCAAAATTACCACAATCTAACAGGTTATAAAAAAATGTATTCCATATATAAATTAAGGATATCTGAGTTTTCTCTAATTACTTTTTAAAATTGAAATAATATTTGTATACATCTTACCTTTAACTTCTTATAAGATTTTTTGAGTTAGTTTGATTTGGTTTATTAAAATTACCTCTTAAACTAATATATAACTCTTGTAGGTGTGTTTAATACTTTACTTTTCTAATCATAATTGGCCCCATAAATTGCTTCATTTATTAAAAGGTTTGACCATGGAGTACTTCTTGTTTCTATTCTATGGTTTACCAATTTAATTCTGTTGTTGTATGGTTTGACCATTAATTACCAAAGTAAAACAAAAAATATACATATAATAAGTATTAGATTTCATTTATATATTGTTATCAAAAGTAAAAATAGTAACTCAAATTAATCAAATATGTGCATGAATAACGAACGAAAGAAGTCGATACATATGTTTGACAAAAAAATAATCCGTCAATTGAAATGAACATCAACTAAACCTAACAAGACCAAACCACAAGGATGGTGTCTGATTGGTTTGAGCTTGACTCCAAAGATCAAAGTATCAGAAGATCTCAGGTTCAAATCCAATGAGGAATAAAAATCCTCTTTGTGGCCACGGAGGTTCAAATGCAGTGACTTCAGGCTATCTGCAAAGCAGGTGGTCGTTCTGAGATTAGTCGGTTTGCATAGCAGGTAGGATATCCAGATTAATCAAAAAAAAAACAAGACCAAGCAATCCCTAAAGATCACTTTTCTATAAGTCCCACGGTTTCTAGCCGACATCGATCAATAGGCATGTAAGACTAATATGAGGCAAGTTGACAAATAATGTTCTCGATGATTATTAACGGTCAAATTTTGTAACGTAGAAACTATTTTTTTTTGTCAAAAAGTGAAACATTGACTTGGGTTGTGATATGAAAAAGAAAATAATGGAATTTAATTTGAAACCAGATGATAATTCGGTCTCGTGGTTGCTGTATATTTAAAAAGAATGATCTTGTTTGTCTCCATCATTCTTTAAGTTTATTTTTTTCACCTGAAATGTAACGAATATGAACAAGATGTGACCCTTTTGACGAGACATGGCTCCAAGAATTTTCTCAGTTATATCACACAATAAACTATGCTAGCAAATGTGGTTGCACCGTAAGCAGGTTCAAAGAATTTTACACCAAACAACATCAAGTGCATAGTTTCACGGGAAATCACTGGCTAAACAGGTAGGTCCACCCTTTGCTTTTGACTCGTCAGTAGTGTTATATGATGTTACGTATCGAAAAAAAACTTTGATGTAAGTTGAAGCTCGATTCAAATCAACAAGGCATCCGATATTTAATATAGATGGGTACCATGAAAATATATATGTATGAGAAGAATCAATGAAGCAAAGGAAACAAGTATTTTTCGTAAGATTGCTTACATTAATCTGACATATGAGACCCACACAAAAAGCAAAATAAGACTGCCAAATACAATGAACCACCACAGAAAGGTGACACCAACAGTAAACAACTGTAGCATTAAATTCAATTGGTAATACAAACAGAAAGTGAAAATAAACATGGGTTTAAATAACTACCATCTTTTACAAAACATTTTAAGATAAAAATTACATCTTTTTTTACTGTAAATAATATGTGCTCATAATTCATCAGGTTCTTCGGTTCTTGATAAATCCTTCATATGATGTAAGAGTTGAGAGCAGGTAGATCAATCCATCACCCTCGTGGAGTGATTCTTGATAACGATCATCAAATGTGACGTTTTTTTCATATTCACATGAAATTTGATTAATTTGCTTAGCCGACGAAGATGGGAAGAATCTCCTTGCATGTGTTACAACTTCATACCCTAGAACAGTATAAGAATTACAATTAGAATTTATGTGTATGTATATATATATATATGTATGTATGTATGTATGTGTGTATATTTACCATGATTAATGAAAGGAAGTCAAGTTATTGGTGAGAAGGAAACGATTGTCAAGTTTTAGTCTTTGGTCATCCACATCCCACAACTGCTGTCCATTATCCTGAAATATTTATATAATTAAATGATTTATGATTTTCGTAAAAAATAATTTTCTTTATTTTATTTTCTGAATATTTGTTGTTGTGACCTTTCATGAGTTCCAAAAGATACCTGGGATAGAATATTTGGCATCTGGAGTTGTTGAAATAGCAGCGAGTTAGCTGATGAAGATGAACCATCAATCAGCTGGTGGTGGTAGTTGTCGTTGGCCGGAGCAAAGGTGGCGGCTCCGCCGTGAGGACTACATTGCTGAACACTTGGCATGATTGGCAGTACCATGCTGCTCATATTCTGGACATATATATATATATATATATATACATTATTAGAGCACTTTTAATCAATATATGTTAAATTAATTAACCTAAAATTAATGATTAATTAATTACCTCATCTGGTTTAAGCATGAAAGCATCCAAATCCACTCCAAAATCATATAACATGGGATTTACAGAAGCAAGCTTCATGGATAGAAACTGAAAATTTAATCATAAATTTATTACTTTATTCTCTTTATTTAAAATAATTAAATACTAAAAATATTGTTACCTCAACTTGATTTTGTAGGGACTGGACATAATTAATAATTTCATCCAGCATGAGGGCCTTTCCAGTTACCTGCATATCAATCAATCCCACATGAAATTGTCAGAGACCAAATAATAATAATAATTATTATTATTATTATTATTATTCCAGTTTAATTAAAATAAAATAACAAAGACAGAAGGAAGAACAATTCACCTTGTCACAACCTGGAACAATGGCTTGCAACAGCTTCATCCTCTCACTTATCTTCTCTCTCCTCACCTGAAAATTATCAGAAATGATCAGTGAATTCATGTTATGTTATTTGAAGATAAGAAGTGGAGGGTATAATTGGAAATTGAGCTGTGAAAATGGAGAAGAAGGGTACCCTTTCAGCAAGGCTATGGCTATCAGTAGCTTGGCCTCTTCTTGCTCTAACATGAATGTACCCAATTGCCCCTTCTTCTTCAGAAGAAGAACCTTTCTTTATAGTCTTCTTCTTCTTTTCTTCTTGATAATCGTTCATTTTCTTTTGCTTCTTCATTCTGTTGCTTGTATCCTAAACATATCAAGATAAAGATTTCATTTTTAATTAATTAATTAATCCACAAAATATTATAATTAAATTAGTAATAATTAAGTAAAATTACTTTAGATTGAGCATGATTTAAAGAAGACATGTGTTTGTCCTTCCTCTTCTTGGCCAAGAGCTCATTACCACTCTCAACTTTTTGATCATCAAGAACCATCGACATTGAAGAATCTGGGCTCTGTAACTTGTTTGCTACAGAAGCTTGATCAATGTTGTTATTGCTATGAACAGTTACTTTCGTAGTAATTAACTCATGATGATGACCCTGGAAAGCATGATCATTAGGTTGGTGGAACTGAGGGAAACAGGTGGTGGTGGTGGCAGCTGCCGTGGTGCTGGTGGTAGAGCTTGGAAAGAAAACTGCCTGATCAAGAAGAAAAGAGTGGTGTTGCTGATATGTAAAGGCTGCCATTTTTGGAACTTGAATTGGGGTTTTGGGTGTTGTAAATTGAAACCGAAAGATGGAAGATTTGATGATCACAAGAATGGAAGAGAGTTGGAAAAGCAAATGTGGGTCTAAGAACGATCTTGGAGTTCAGGTATATATATAAACATGAGGAGAGAGAAAACAGGAATAATTAAAGTGATAAGTGCCAAAAAGATCCAACTATGCCTTTAAACTTTATAAATTACAACAATATTTAAATAAATAGTTATATAAAACAAGATGATAAAAGAATTTTATACGTATTCGATGGTTAGTCTTTCTCATATACTAGGTTGCTACTGTCAACATTTCTCTTATATAAGGTTGTTTCCGATAAGAAAGAAAGTTAATGTGAGAAATGTAAAAAAGGATCTCAACGCTTGGATGCACGTTAGGATGAGATGCACAAAGATGTATCAGATCAATTATCGTATCAAACGTGATTCATTGGTGGGTTTTAAGATTAAAAGTGATTAAAGGTTCAGATCTCTTCTTAAGTAAGTTCTCACTTTAACTCTTTTTCTCACAATTCTTCACCTTCTTATATACTTTATGTTTATGTTCTTATATGAACATCTCGTTCATAAAAAAAAAAATATGTAGAGGGAGGTTTAGGAAGAAAAAAACCCTAAAATGAAAACTAGGGATATTATGTTAACTATTCATCTGGATGGTATGTGCATGTATATGTACAAGTAATTGAAGTTGTTTTTTGGTTTTTATTCACGTGTGCATATTATGCATTTGTGCATACCGGACAAATTTACAAATAACTTGTATTCATACCTTCTAAGTAATTGGTTACCAGGGTGTTTCTCAGTTTTTCATTTTTTTATTAGTTTCCTCTGAAAATCTTGCTCACAGGTTGGGTCTTAAGTTAAATCTATGGAGACCTTGTCCTTAGTCCAATTGATAGAGAAATTGTTTCCATAAAAATCTATATCTTGCAAAGGTAAAATTTCTAAGAAACATGGAACAGTCATTGTTAGAAAAGGCTCGCTGCAACAACCATCATGGAACTCAAGACTTGTGTCTCACACCACATTAAACCTAAGGCACGCCATGGCATAATGCCCGGTTTTTATAACACGATATTTGATTTTACATATGATTTTGTTTGTCTTATTTGTTATTTTTTAACATGTAATTTAATTTGAATTGTTTATTATTATTGATTCGTTGAGTAATAGTAGAAAACATGTTTGTGTATATAATATTATATACGATATAAAGATTTGCTGCTATAAGTCACGCCTTAATAAAAAAAAACCCGGTCACCTCACCATCTAAGATTGCCACGTCCATCCCAATTGAGTTGCTCATCTCACTTCCTCATTTGCTTGTCCTTCCCCTCACTCCCTCGACTCTTGTACTCATCAACGTTAACGTACGGTACCATTTTCCCTCTTATGTACATGTCCAAACCATAACATCTTAATCTTCCCCTCTCGTCATAACCATGATGAATGCAACTTCCAACTTTACTAAAAATGTCTCGTTCAGGATATTTAATATATGATACAACGTCACTCGAGCAGAGCACGTAACATTTAATTAGGGTTTCACCACCATCTCAAATCCGAAGCTAATCAATATTGTATGTACATAACACAACATGTTTGTTTTAACTAAATTTATAAAGCTTTATGAATGTGATGAAAACATTCTTCATATGATGGTATACAGACTTTATATATATCCCTCTGACTGATCCAAAAAACGAGAGACTTCTTTAATTTTCTGTGGACAAATCCATGTCTTTTGTTTCTGATATGTCAAAGTTTCAGTTGTTTTTTCACTTTCTCAGCATCTGTTAACATAGTATATAAATATAGAGAGAGAAAGTGTGTGTATGTGTGTATGTGTGAGAGAGAGGGAGAGAGTTATGATATATACCAAAACCCTAACCCAATATCAATGAGAGTTTCAGAAAGATGCAGAAGCATCAGCAGCTGCCATATATGACTCGCTTTTATCCATTATTATTATTTCATGTTATTTCTTTTATCAATGGACTTATAAATAATATTTTTAACGTATTAATTAAAATATGAAATTAAAAACTCTTTTTTTTTAAATTTATTCCAGAAAAATACAACACAAGATTTCTAGTAGGGTTTTAATTTCTATTTATTTTTTATTTTAGTAATTATAACTTGAACTTAAAAATCTTCTAAGTATTGGAATAAGACAATTAAAAAAGTTTAAGAGGAAAACCTTTAAAAAAAATCTAAGGAACGTCAATCATTTATTTGGATCGTATGTATATGTATACAAGTAATTGAAGTTGTTTTTTGGTTTTTATATACGTGTACATACCGGACAAATTACTTACATATATATACATGTACATACCGTCCAAATAAATGATTATCAGGATGTTTCTCGATATATACATATAACTATTTTATATATAAATTGATGTATAATTCATTATAAATATTCATGTATATTTACGTATATGCCCCACCTTTGCACATCAATATAATTTGACATGAAATTTTTTACCATCCAAGTTTCTAGTTATTGTAGCTTACATACAAAACCCTAAAAATATTACTAAAATGACTTTCTCACTCACTCAAAAAGACATGGAATCATAAAAGTAAAACAAAGATAGACGGATGATAAAGAAGCACGAAATTAGCAACATTGATCGAATGTTTAAATTAATTCTCGACTTTCGTAATCCCGATTAAACCGTGTTGCATTACACGATTATACTTCTATGTTACAATAAAACCGATTTTACCGTCCATGGTCTTGGAAATCAACCATCGGAAATGTTCATTTTAAAGAACAACTAGAAAAACTTCATAGTTACAAAAAACATCCATATTTTCTAAAAAGTAAAAACAAAAGCGAAGTTTGTTGTATTCTTATTTGAGGACGAATTATTTTGGAAGTAGATTCTTGAAAATAAAAACAAACACAATTTTGGGTTTTTATAATATTAAATAAATAAATAATTCATGATTAAACTTTTGAAGTCAAAGGATCTTGGGTTTTTATAATATTAAATAAATAAATAATCCATGAAAAATTTATTAAATCGTCTAATCAATTGTTTCTTTATTTGACATTTTCGAAAATTTTCCTATAAAAAAAAGGTTAACGAGATTCTCTTGAAAAGACTAATAAGATCACGACGGATTTCATGAATCATATTAGATTGTCTCATTTCATCAATTGAAATTGCTACATCGCTTAATGTTGTATTAACATACAACTTATGAATGTAATATATCATGCATCGTATGTATGTGGAACTCAAAGTTATTAATCTTATAAACTCAAATCCTATTAAATAGATGTTAGATTGTCGAAGAACGGTTAATCTTATTAAATATATTAATAAAAATATATAATTTTTCTAGTTAAAAAATCATGTTTTACACTTACAATCAACCCGAAATATCGTGTTTTAAAAAGGATTCAACATAAATCATGGTACAAATTACCAAACATTCTGTAGTAATAATGTACTACAGTTATAATAAAGGGGAGCGTTTATGGTTGTCAACTACGTCTATTTATAGAAATGATGAATTATGATTACTAAATCTTGTGACGTGTTGATACGATAAGGTTGTTGTCGTCTCGATTTTAAAACAATCATAATGTCATGATACTTATGACCACATCAACTCATGTAAGCTTGATCGCGTCCCCTACCCCTTTTGTAATAAAAACAAAATGAATAGTGTATTAAATTTGATTTATAACATTCATATTTATTATTTGATTCATATCTAATTTACAACACATCCTGTTTGTTCTGCTTCCCACTTTTTTTCTCTAGTAAAGCATATTTTTGACTTCAATGCAAGCAAATTAATTGCTTCTTTTCGCTTCGACATAGATCTGTGGTCCATTTCAACTTGTTTGGAAAAAAGAAAAAAAAACCAATTTCAATCTCTCGCTTGAGCTCAATTTAGCATCAGTTTTTAAAGAGGTTGTTTGGCTGCTTCGGAATGATTAAGAGTTTCTGTATAATTCTGAATTGAAAGTTTCAAAGATGTAAAATTACCACTTTACTCCCGTCCCCCCCTAATCTTCTGTTGAATGAACACTAACGTTTGATTTTAATCCGTTGAGTGAGGGCCCTTCCGCTCAGTACCGTCTGATCGTTAAACACTAACTTTCATCCATGTTCGACTGTAGCCAGGTCTTGCAGTTAAGCCCCCTTCAAACCAAAGTTCTAAACAAGACATGTTGTATCATTTAGAGGCTTAAAACAACTGTCAAACATGTCTATGTCTAACTGAGTCAAGACATTTACTTGTTTTTTTTTTATTAACCTGGATATCCAACTCGCTACGCGAGCCGACTAATTCCAGAACGACCATCTGTTTTGCAGATAGCCCTGAGTCACCGCATTTGAATCTCTGTGGCCACAATGGGATTTTTATTCTTTTTTAGATTTGAACTTGAGACCTCCTAGTACTTTTGACCTTTGGAGTCAAGCTCAAATCAATCAGGCACCACCCTTGTGGTTAGACATTTACTTGTTAATGACATCATTAAAAGATAAACAAATAACCCTCGTTAACGTCTTGAATCGTTATTGTATTCTATTTTTTGTAAAAAAAAATGAGTATATAACATAATTAGATAATAGTAATAATAATAAATGATGAAATAAAAAGGAAAGAAAAGGAGGTATCAAAGCATTGAATTGTTTTGCTGACATGAGATATTAATGGGCATAATTAGCTTTAAAATGATCCGAGTTCTGAGAGAATCTTTCGGGTCCGGCCCTATTCTATGATTCAACTACCAGTAGCCCGGCCCATATCCGTCCGACCCAGATTTTTAACAAAAGACAAACTTATCTATATCTATATCTATACTATCTTATTAAGCAAATTTAACAAAAGTCTTAAAGTCTTAAAATTCTAAATGACCAAAATATCCTTTATACTCACTTTTTCATTTTTTCACTCCCTCCTCTCCTCACATACACTCACCCCCTCACATACATTCACCATCTCACAACCTATTTTTTTTTAAATCTTAATTTTAAATTTACACTTTATATCCCTATAATT